GAACCTAAAAGTTGTCCTTGGCTTTGCGAATGACTCCCAAGGCTTCGGCATCATCTGCTGAGTCAGGGATATTCAATGACTTCCGGATTACTTTGCTTGAAGTCCGAAGGAACGGATTGCATGACTTTTCCTTTCTCAGTGAAGTCGGGATCTATGCAACATTAATTGCAGTGACATCATTAAGAAGAAGAGCATATCACATACTCGGATAAAGGTGAAAGTTTAGAAAGTCAAAAAGTACCGTAGGCAAGCCCTTGCTGTGGAGCTGGGCTACATGGGCAGCATAAGACTGCAACTCGTCATTCCCTGGTTCTATTGAAAGGGCAAATTTTGAATTACTCTGTCAAAACATGCCAATAATTTAGGGTCATTTTTTGGTTTAAGAATGTTGAGAAATACGAAAAGAGAGAAAACATTGATTGCTCATTGTGAATTTACCAATGTATATTCGTGACCACAATATATATTTGTATCATCAGGCAACGACGTGATCTTCCTCAGGGAAGAAAGCATCTGGTACAAACACAATGTTTAATCATCATGACACTTCACTATGTACTAGAGGACAATAAAATCTCTAATTTCATCACATCCAATGATAGCAAAAAATACATACATCATAGAAAATCTAATACAATTCAAATCAATTAAAAAAATAATGTGAATATATAAATCATGTTATGTAGACAATAAAAAGATGCCTACTTCAAGCAAGGAAGTAAAAACGAACACATCATACATGCTTATTGCATGCTCTTTCGAAGTGACAACTGCATAATAGAAGCTCCTGAGACTTCAGAGAACTGGACTGCTGATTTGATAATACATTGGACGGTAAAAGAATAATCGGTGCTCGAAATTCTATTTCATTAATAAAAAAGTTAAGCTTCGATTCAGTTTTTAGCTATAAGCCCACGTGATCATTATTTATGATTTTCCATATAGTCTTCTAACACTTCATGTGCGAAATTTTTAATCACTATTGGAAACGGCTCATTATGGAATTACAAACCGGAAACAGCAAAATGAAGGATTTACTCCTCTATAAGATAGATCCAATAGCTGACAGCCTGCTTTATCTTTTACTTGGACTTCTAACATCCTTCCCATAGGTATTTACCATTGCATTTCACAAATATGCAAAATTACAACATTCTACTCATTTAATTTGTTTACAGAAAATAATCATAGCTTGCTTCCATATCTATTGAAAACCCACGCCGAAGGTCTCACCTAAATCACCCACAAAGCTTAGAGCAGGGTTCATCCATCAGCAATTCTTTTTCCATTTTAATAAATTGAATCACCTACAAATCTACATTCATCCAATCATTCTTTAACTCACTTATAATCAAACACCAAAACTACTATTGAAGATGTAAATGAAACTTTTCAGGGCATACATAAAAACAAAATCACAATTTCAATAGATATAATAACATACCTGCTGCGGAGTTCCTTCAAAAAGCTTGCCACATGATAAGCTGAACAAAGTGTCTCCCGTAAAAATTGATTTTGAACCAGGGAAGTGGAAGCTAATATGGCCTACTTGCATGGTGGGCCATGTTTAAGATTAGGTCAGTACTATGGAATCAAACCGAGAAAAATATCAGCATAAAAACTGCATTTTCATATAATCATATGGGGGGAAAAAAAAATATTCACCAGTTTGATTTTTGAAAATAAATACAGCTTTACAAATAAATAGTCTAATTAATTAATAAATTCAAACCTCCATATTAATATTCATTGAACTTGTTCATTTCAATATATCAACTTATTCATGTTAAGTTGTAATTAGAATTTTTGAGATGATGTATTCATATTTATCAGCCTTCCTTTCACTTCATTGGCTTCTTTTTTGAGTTATCATCCAGCCTCTAATAAAATTTCAATTATCATAGTTTCGTTCTTAAGTAACGCATATGCAGTACTCAGCCTCTACGACACTGCCATACATTCTCAACTCTTGAATTACATCCTTGTGCAGTTGTAAGTGGGAATTGTATGAATTCTTGAAATCCTATTCCCACTTCAGGATTATTCTTAAAATTTCCACAAGGAAAGGAAATAGTACAATTTATAATCCAACCAAAAAAAAAAAAATAGAAGTGGAGAAAATTTTGAATACACAGCCAACAATCAGTATGGAAAATTTTAAGTTGACAATTTAGAGCCAGTTTGAGCCCCATTTTTTCTTAAACGTGCATTTTGGAATAGTAGATTGATGGATAATGTGTGGTTGAAAAATACAAAAAAGTTTTGGATTTGCTTGAAATATTGTTTTATTGAATAATGTGTGGTTGAAAAGAAGAGAGAAAAATGTATTTTGAAATAATGGGAATCAAACAAAGGCTTAAAGAAGCAACTGATGGAAAGGCATTTGAAAGAGAAAAAATGTTGCACTTGAAAGATTCCCAGTGCAAGACAAAAAGCCTTTGTCTACTTCAAAGGCTCCTCCATGTGTGTGGAACAAGGTCAGACTGATGGCAACTGCCATGGAAAATTACTGAGGATTGTTGAATAGACAGAGACGTGGACCCAGACCAGTAATATGCAATGCAGACGGGCTGAGAAATTAGAATTCTTATAACAGAAGTCGATTCAGAGAAAGCAATCAAAAAGCGGAAGCTGACTCCCAGTCCTATCCTGCTGGGCATCTAATTGAAGATTTCTGATGGCAGTCCGCAATAACATAGCCAAGCAAACATGAAAACATTGATGGAGAGAGTAACAAGTGTGCAGACAGCCTTTCAAAAGAGGCTTAAAAGTTTGACTATAGCATGTGGAAATCTGATGAGAAGATCCAAGAGCTCTACAACCCTCAAGAAACTGAATCTTTTGTTTCTAGATTTTGATTTCTTTTGAACTTTTAGAAAAATATCCAACAAAAGGTAATACTAGACTGAAGTTGCAAAATTTATTTTAGACAGACCTAGATTCCAACAATAAAGCAAGATAATATAGAGCTTAACATAAATAATTTACTCCCTAAAATACATCTGTCCAAAAAAATAAATAAATCAACATTATCTAACAAATCAAAAGCATTA